AAAATGATCATTAATAATGTAAAAGATTTACATTCAGAGAAAAAATGTGAAAAAAAAGGCAAAATGTAATAATTACATGCTAATATTTCATGCCACGTTGTTGAAAATACAATTAATTTTCGAAAATTATTTATCATCTGTTTTAATTGTTGTCATTACAAACGAGAACCATTAATCGGCGTATACAAATAAGTGTGCATGGCTTAATTTTCTGTGAAAATAATAAAATAATGTTATTGTTTACAACGTCAAGTGACCATTGTATGTCTAACATGCGAAGCAAGAGTAGTAGTGATTCCCTTTCACACGACATTATTATAATTAACAATTACACGTCGGGCGACAGCTAAACAGTAATATTTTGCTATTATATTTTCAAAATCCTACTATTGTGTAGATTGATAAGAGAAAGTCGGGGGTATACGTGTATTATAACGTGTGCCTGGACGGCGTAAACAATATTTGTGGAGCTCGTAATAAAAAATTAAAACAGACTCGCAGGAAGTCGTGTTTTTTCTTCGTCCATCCATTTTGTATGTACATATATGCGTAAACGTGTGCATTTGAATCGTGTGAACGTTTGGTATTCAATTGACGTACGCGAACACGGTAGCAAGGAAGAGGTTCCTCCGGCCCACACGCGACTAGTTACAACAATGTAAAATAGGAGGATAGGCCCTGGGTACGTACTTCATTTAGTCAATTGTAGAATGTATAATAAAAGAGCGCATAATATATAGGTAGTTATGTATTTCGGTGTGGCTCTTTTGTTCTTGAAGCGATTATTATAATTGACCGATTACCAGGTAACACGATAACCGATTTCCCAAGCGGCATTTAGAGATTCTGTTTAATTGTTAGCTGGACACTAGTGATAAATTTACGAGACCGTACAATGAGTGGTATCCTTTTGGGGTATGAATTCTCAGAAAGGTTAGTCTTTTTGGAAAACACGGTCTTAAACGAACGCATAGCGTCTCGCCATGTTTAATTAAAACGTTTTATCACGAGTCCGAAATTGACAGATGGAAATAGATTCTAGTTGGGTCGGGTTGTCGTGATACAATAAAGTAATTGTATTCATCGGGTCCTTCGTAGTGTCACTTTTGCTAGAGAATAATGCATAGTATCCATAAGAAGTACACAACAGTCGCTTCTTTCTGATCTTATCGAGACTTCCGGTTTTACTCGTCTTAGTCGGATTGTATATGTATATCTATACACTTAGATATTTTCTTTTCACGTTCCTGTTGTTTTTTTTTTCACCTACTTGTTGTTAAAATTTCGTTATTCGCCACAAACTGGCCACTAACAAACAATAATTGGTTGCAAAATTGTTTGATAGAAATCTTAATTGAAATTAGTAATTGCTGAACACCAAGTCGATTTAAATATTTAGACTGTTTGAATTCGCACGCTCTATGGCAAAATAATGATTCATTTATTCTTGTTTAACCTTTAAAATTCTTTAATTATAATTTACTGACGATATTTTTTCAAATCAAATTTACTTGCCAACCATTAAGTATCAAGTAGAATCAAGTACACTTCACTGTAGTACAATCTACTTTGAATATTTTGTAATTACAGTAATTTTTCAACGCTAATTACACGTTAATTATGCTTTTCTTTAAGCACAATTCAAACGCTAATGGTTCGTTGTAGACAACACTACATTTGTTTCACCTCTAAAGGTTGTTAAGTACACTATGCTTGTTCATTTAATTCAATGCTATTAAATGTTTATGATAAAAACAAAATAATAATTAAAAAGCCAAATTATTAGTTTGTTTAGTGTTATATTTAAAACGTTATATTTGACATACTAGTAGATGAGGATACAGGGAAATTCGGTAAAGGACCATTTTTATTATAAATTTTTCAGAACCGCAAAAACAAAGTTATAAATTTTTATCCTTTTAATAATAAAACAAAAATAGACATTTTCAGTAGCTAAATGAAAAAAAATGTTCGACCAATGAATTTTTACTGCTAAAGTTCTATGGAATCAAACCATAAAAACAAAGTCTGAAAAAATTATGGGTTATATAGTTTTTCCCTTGTAACCTTCAGATACTTGAGTTATTTATAAGTAGAAAACCCAACTAAAAAAAAATTATGTTCATTAACATAATTTATTATTGATAATAGTGCATCATTCAATTTTTAATAAGTGAAGTATTTACTTAAAAGTAATTTTATAAATTTTATTTATTGGCACCCTTAAAGTGTTAAAAGTAAATAATGATACTCGAAATCCAAGCGTCCTATCTACCAGTAATAATCAATTATAGCTTTAAAAAATGACTATTTTCAGTTCTGTCGTGAGAAACAACGTGTGCTGTATATTTTATAGCTACTAGTTTTGAAACTATGTTATTAAGCTTATTTTTTTTTTACCAAAAAGAATTCTATTTTAGATACAAGAGGAAAATCTAAACTTAATAATGAACTTATTTACAGAGAAATACTATTTAAGGGCTTTTGAAATGATTTCATTTGCAGATGAAATCGTTGGTATACATGCAGTGATTGTGAAAATAAATATATTTTTAGTGCTGTAAACAAATGGCATTGTGTAACAATGGCAGTGGTGACAACAGGCTTTCCATTTTTGTTTTCGTCGTTCTTTTTACTATTATTTTGTGTGGAAAAACACATTTTATTTTGTCTCGTAGGCAAACTTCTGAGTAATATAAATGTAAATTTCTTTACTATCCGTTTCGCATACAACAGTGTAAATCTCTAAAAAAAAAATCTGCACTTTTGTAACATTAATTAATATATTACATTTAGTATAAGCAAGTATTTGGACATCTTTTAGGAGGGAGTGATGGGCTTAAGAAAACGTTTACCTTATTTTTTAATAAACATTATTTTTAATGAATTTTTTTTTTTTTACTCAAAATCCTTCTTTAAGTAAATTACTTCTGAAGTAATAATTGAAATGAGCTTTATTTTAGTAGCCGATACAAATTTTTTAGATATTTTAAGTGAACAGATATTACAACACAAGATTAGTATATGATTTTTATTTTGAACATTTTGTCAGTTTCACCAGACATGTGTCTTACATGTGTTGTTGCAAATTAATAACGCAGTTTTATTTGAAGCTCATTTATATCTCATACATCATTAGTCAAAATTATGAGCCGAGAATGTAACGAGTTTGTTGAACGTATTTTTGATTAATTTAATAGTTTATTCGCTTCCTTATACAATACTATTATACAATAATAATACAATACTATTTCCAATGAGTTAACATTGTGACAATAATCTTTTCCTTTTTAGCGAAATAATGAAAATGTGCAGTAGGTTCTGATTAGCAAGTTAAACCATGATTATTATTTCAAAAAAAAAAAAAAATACAATTCGTGCACTTAATTGTTGTTTATTTGTTTTAATAATATTAAATATTAATTAGTTCATCACTAATTTGCATAATTAATAGAAACAACAACTCTGTATTCTTTATCAATATTCATAGGATTGCATTTTTATGTGTACTCCGACTATCGTCATTTAGATAATTGTCTATTGTATTTTAAATATACAGTAGTGTGTTATTAATATATCATAATAATGTTGGCGAGTAGCCTAGTCGTTTAATACGGTTTTATTATGGTTTCAATGATATGCCCAAATGACTTTTGATCCCTTTGCCGACAGTGCTATAGAGGCGACAACAATATTATGAAACTGCTATTTCTTAAAAAATAAACCAACTGAGTATTTATAAAATACATAATACAGTCGTTAAGCATCCAATTATACATTCAATCGCTAAATTTAACTGCAATTTCAGTATTTTCTAATTAATCCAACTTAAATATAAGTGAAGTACCTACAATGAATATACTTGCATTCATTGAGAAAAGACTTTTAAAGCGCCTTTAAAAACATCTTTATTCTTCAACAACAAAGTCAATTTTTGAATCTTTTGTCTGTGTTTTATACTATTAAAAACTTTTGGTATTGTTTCTATTAAAATAAAAAGTAATATCATTTTTTTTTCGAAAAGAAAATAATGTAACCAAGAACACTTCATACCATTTCTCGTTTATTTCCATTAGACTATAATGGGCTAAATGAATACTTATAGAATTATTAGTTTCGACTCATGAAAACCCACCTTCATTCAAGCGGAAATTATTTTTTATACTATTGTCAAGGATTGAAAATATGACTAATGTTTCTGTTGATGAACTATTGTCACGTGATACACAATTTTCCAGGTTGAATTTTTGCGGTTGGTGTTAGTTTTATTTGTTTATTTTTGTGTTTTCATTTAAAATGACTATTGATCTAAGTGACATTTTTATAGTATAGTGATGAGTAAATATCATATTTTAATTAATAATTGACCATCACTGCTAAGTAGGTTGTCTTCGAATTATACTTTCCCATACAGTTTAAATATGTTCAGCGAGATATTCGTTCTTTATGTTGAGTAGTTCTGTTATTTTTGTACACGATATAGAACTTTTGAGAAAACAAAATAATTTATTGTTTATAGATTGTTATCTTCTGTGTATGACAAGAATATCAATTGATAAATTATAAATATCCCATTAATACGAAGTGCCTTTTAATTTCTACTATCCTAACAATAATTTATGATTCGTGTTATTTATTGATTTTATTAACGCGTAATATGTTATAATTGTAATGAACGCCTAACATACATCTATACGGTTATATTAAATAAAATGATATTCATTGATCTTGGACCAAAAATAATAACAATTAAAAATGACACTAGTTATTAGGTTGAACAATATTAATTTTGTCTTTAACTAGTAATTAAAAAAATCAATAGCCTATCCGTATCTATTGTATCTTCAACATAGAATAATAATTTGCATAATTATATACATGGAAATTTATAGGATGATTCAATGTATAGTTTAATTCCTATTTATTAGTAGAGTTAGAATTTGAGTACAATTTATTTATCTTACTTGTTGAGTATTACTAAAATTGTATCATTTTTTCAGGGAATTGTGGAGTACCTGACATGACATCTATATCAGATATAGACGAAGATGTTATCAACCGAAATTTGCAAACAAGATATTCAGAAAATCACATTTACGTATCCTTTTTATACAATTAAAAATTTATTCTTAAAAATCTATTAACTTGAGTAACAATGTTAGTGTTAGTCAATAAAATACAAGGTAATTTTTTCATAAACTTTATTAGTGTTTTTAAAATTATGAGTTAGGTACCTGAGTTAGGATTATAGGTACCTTATACATAATTAATTGTAGTAAGGGAAAAGAGTAAATATTACTTCTGAGTATATTATCTATTTAGACTATAGTTTTAAATAAGTTCTCAAGTTTTTCTAACTTTAAGATTGATAAAATGACAAACGTTATTGATGTTATACAAAGTTCACAACTTAATAATATTCTTATTTATTTAAAGAAAATCTTAAAGTACTTAATTACATATTTTTTGTACTTTATACACTTTAATAGATTTTGATCGCATATTTTTTAGAGTCTTTATTTTACTTAAGTGTTAAATTTATAGCTATTAAATATCAAACAATAAATTAAATAATAATTTAAACATAATTTATAACACAATTTACTGCACAAAATTATAATTTAGTAACAATTATATGTATAGGCTAAAAACTTGGCTTTATTAATTATTATAGTTGGAGATAATTTTTAATACTTCTTTCAATTTTAACATACTTTTTTCTAATCTTTATTATGGGAAATATATTTTACATAAAAAAAGTTAACTAATTAAAAACATTTTCATTAATATCTTAGTTTTTTATAACAATACTATTTAGACTTTTATTACTATTAAATTAATTTAACTTATTCATTTTTCTTATCATCCCTCTATTTTAATTATTAAAATATAAGTTAGTAATTATTACTAACTTCATTAATATTAATTATTATTAATTTTATTATTTATATAAGTTAAATTTTACCAAATAAAATATTTATGAGTTTTCTTCTAGTACTATTGCAAATATTATGAAACTATACTTTAAAAAATTATCAAATTATAAAAACTGAAACGTTATTGTTAAAAGGTTATTCTATTACTGTGTCAGTTGCGTCATATAAAATGTATAAGACACAACTTACTAATATTAAATCATTGACCTTACAATATATGTTAACGATAAACATTATTTCTTATGATAAATTATTTTTTAGTTATGATCAATATTTTATCAGACATTTTAACAATATTAGTCAACAAATGTTTCATTGATTTTATTTTGTACTAATTTTCTAACTATTTTATTATTGACCTGATTGAAATAGTAAAAGTTCTGTGACTATTGTTTATAAAATGATTATTGCATTATATAAAAAAATCAATTAGTTGTACCAATTTTTTCGAAGCAGACACTTATTGAAGAATTCACAATTTTCTTGGCAAGATAAAATGTTTATCTTACCTAAACTCATCGGATAAAGTTTATAACACTTCATTGCTTTAATAATAATCGATTTTATAATGTTTTTATTTCATTCCAATAATTATTTTTTTTATACTTCTAACTCCTTGACCTTTTGACTTTTTATAGTGTAAAAAAAGTAACTAAATATTGTGATTATCCTAAACGCATACGTGTCGTTTTTATAGTATTACAGGTGAAATAATTTGATATATTGATCGTATTTGCTATTGTTAATTCATTCAATGTTATTATAAACATTAATTTATAAATTCGTTGTTTGACTATAACCAATTCAATTAAAAATGAACTTTCTGTATACTGTGGGAAAAAATGCTTGAATAGTTTATATTTTGTAGTCGTCTTTAATGTAGAAAAAAATGAGAACTATAAATAAATATTTTAAAGCTGTCGATCCGTTTAATTTTTCAAACAAAAGTATTCAGTTATTTAACGATACATTTAAGTTAAATTTAATAAATGAAATTTTTTACGATTAACATTATTTATGTTATCAACTTTAAAATAACTAATTATTTCTAAAAAAAAAAATTATTATATAAATAAAAAAAATAATAATAATTTTTATGTAAACAAAAAACTTGTAATAGTAGCGATTAATTCTGATTAAAAATGAAAAAACAATAGTAAAACAAATACATGGCAGCTAGCACTAACCGTAATAGTTTCTCTGTATTTCATTAACTAGTTAATGTGTTCGTTTTATGAAAGGGTAGTTATAAAAAGGTTATTACGATTAGTTCAACTGATATGAGTATCATAAAAAATGGCAATGTATTATCCATTAACGTCAACATTGTAATCATTTTTTCTATACAATATTTAAATAAGCCTAAATAAGTATTGAACACAATCTAGATTTACGTTATATTTTTGTTTTATAGCAAAAATGCTCTTTCATTTAGAGCCTATAAAAAACTATGGTAAATGTTTAAGTAATATAATTTTTATATTTTTTATCACGAGATTTAATGCACTTTTTGTGTAAATATAATTAATTTTTTTTACTCTTAATCATATGATTAATTTGAAACACGTGATTATAATAATTATATTATTAGAATAAATAAATACAATAATAATTATTTATTTACAGTTTTAATGATTAATAATAGTAATAACGTCGATTGACTAAGTTCATAAAATTAAAAAAAAATTATCCTTACTTTTTTAAGCAGGAAGTAAGTGATTATTATTAACATTGACACATTGACCGAAAAAATCATATCAGTTACTTTTTAGTTAAAACACATTCGGCCTACTGCTGTCAATCCAACTAAACGTTATTCTTCTATTAATTCCAATGAACCCTTGACCCATTTCTAGAAATTAAAATGTTATGTGAAACAATTATTCTTCTTTCTCATTTACATTTTATCAGTCATTTACTGATGTCATTTAGTTCATACTTCTATTTCCTTGATACTCAAATTATTTTTACTATTCAGCTATGAGTTTTTTTAGTAATGATAGAATATTTGATATTGATAAAAATAATGGTATTTTTTATTTTTATTTTGAATTACTTTCATAAAAATCAACATTATTTACTTTCATTATTTTTATAATTAGAAAATTAGAATTGTTATTTTTTCACAAGTAATAATTAATTTGCATTAGCCAGTGCCTCGTGTTCAAATGTATTAAATTAGAATGTAACGCAATTAAAACTATTTAGGATGTAAACAATTAATATTATAATGAAATATCGGGAAATTATCAATTGATTCAAATAATTAAAGGCCGGAGCTTTTTAATGGAGTCGGCAATTCTGTGTAGTTGCTTAGGAATAGACGGTTTTGTGCGTTCAATATTGAAAATTAATTAACGATTCGCCGGAGAAATACTGTAGCTCACCAATTAAGTAGCACTTAGCATTAAGAAATACGCTGTTGCCACATACGAAGTACGTTGTCACCTTGTGCAAATTTATATCCAACTAGACTCTAATTTTTGTCTGGAAAGTTTCATTCGGTTGTCGCCGCCATCAATGTATGAAATACTACTAACACACTAGGTTTTTTGACAATACTGATTCAGTCCGAATTGTAATCATTTTTGAGTTAACTAATGACGCAACTGAAAAAGGTATTGTGCCAATGAAACGTAAATACGTATCTCTTTAGTAAAGCAATTAATTCTGGGAAATCCGAGCGAAAACAAATCGCATTAGGTGTCCGCAAGGCGTGTAACAGTGTCGTTTTTGTTACATATTTGCTCTTATTGAATTCTACCCTTTAATGCGTTTTATAAACATTTATAGAGCTGCGTCTTAGATAGTGTAATAATAGCCAATATCATTGTCGTTGATTTCATGTGACATGAGTTTTCGTGAACACTCAAAGGTTAAACACCTCCGGAAAACGTGTAATGAACGTCGAATAATATAAAAATTTAATCGTGTCACTCAAATGACAGCCAATGCGGTAGAAAACAGTTTTGCGGGTGTGTTGTTGATGGCGTTATGAATATGAAATACAATCGTCGCATTAAATAAGTATACACGTTTGTACAATGCATTCGTGTGTACATCTCGCGTTGCATTACAATATTTGAATGTTTGGCTCTTTTTGTTGACGTTTCGACTCAATATAAACCACTTGGGTTATTAAATGTTTGTCATTAGTCATAGTCGTCGGGCGAGGCGGTTCGTTTTTCTGGTAATATTAGACGGGAAATAAAAGCAGCTATACACGAGTTGCGCGTACCCTAAAAAAGTTAATGTTTTTTATTTTCTAGACAACTTTTATGAAGTATAAAATTGTTTCTCTACTTTGTGAGTACATGTTTCAATCGTAATTGATGCTTCAAAAATAATTGTCATTACTAATGTAATGTTTGAATATTGATTTTTACTTTTGTACAATGCTCGACTTGACTTTACTTTTCATTTTACAAAATATAAAAATTACTAAAATTGTTGCATTAATAATTTTCACTCAAGTGTTTATATACTTATTAAATATGGATTAGAAGTATTAATTTGAAATAATTATAATCATGTAATTTGTTTCAGTGTTCAATATAGAGGCTGTTCACTAAGTAAGGAAACAGGTCAATTGTTACAAACAATGAGAACTATATACTTCTTTACTTATTGAACACTCTATATAAATATTTTAAGCTAAAATATTACTCTTGATTACTAGTGTAAGATTTTATTTATGAATAGAAAGTGACTTCCATTTATATACTGTGATTTTCAAAATACCTCATTTTTTGTTGTTATACGTTTCAAAGTGTTACATCCTTTTTATATAATTGTACTTGAAAGTAAAAAGTTCCTTTTAGTACTTTTTTTACTTGCCATTGTACGGTAAATAATTTATGTTGTATTAAAAGCGATTAAGTGTGGAACCAACGCGATTGAAAAGTTTTTTATCTATTTTTTTCATAAAATGTTTATTGAGAATTTTTTAAATTTAAACAAAAAAGTTAACGAACTATTATTTAAAACTAATAATACAATATTAAAATATATATATTTTTACTCGATTTTATTTACATCACTGGTGTAAATGCTGATAACATGGCGACTGCGTCGAGTCTTCAAATCCAGTGGACCTTTCTGACAAAGTTGTTGTTTAAAAAGATTCATTAGATGACCTAGGTAAAATACAGACCTGCTGAAAATCGTGAAATGATTCCTATCGACGAATTCTATCCTAGGCAATTTCACTATATGTCTATAAGAAAATAAGAGTTTTGATTGTGAATTATGATTTTGTTGGACATATCAAAGAAATATTTTTGAATTCAAAAGCCAAGTAGAAACATTGTATGAATACAAAATTTCTTTACTCCTTATGGTTGAAAAATTACTTTAAAGGTTGTTAAAATTTCAAAGAGATATTTACCCACAATAAATATATCGTTAATATATGTCTTTAAATATATCTTCAAAAATAACGAAAGTGAAGAAGTATTTGTTAAATATTTGGCATTGTTAGACAATTTATTTTTGAATCCTCAAGCTTGCGTGAAAAGTTTACTAATATTTTCGAACGTATAATGTTATATATTGATGAAAATTGTTTGCCTGTACAGAAATATGAAGTGAAGACATGTAAGCTTTTAGGTATTGTGCGACATTTTGAAAAATAAATGATACATTTTGGGAATCGTATTTTAGCAGTACTCGACATGAAAGCAATTATCATATTTTTTTCGTTAAATACTTTAATCCATCCTAATTGTACTCTGCGATAAATATATAAATAAGATAATTTATAATAGAACATATGTTCTGTATTATTGTTTTTTTTTACCTTGTTCGTTTTTGAACCTTACATGTTTACGAATAATATTCATTTAAATATCACTAATTTGATGTGTTTTTGTTGATTAATTTTCAATAAAATTCTGTTTTTAAAATGTGTTTTTTCTGCTCAGACAAACCAAAATACGCTTTTTTATTAACTATGATGTTGGACTGCATCACCGTAATAAACATTGTTCGTTAACAGGATTCGTTGGTTTTTGCGGCATCCCTCCGGGGGGCAAACGAAGAGGTCATATCGATCTATTATTTTCATCATCATCATTTTCTTTTATTCTGTGCCGCCACTTCTCCTCGGTCGGTTGTACATTAAAAGGGTGGAACGAACACGGGCCTATGCGATGACTCACGCCGATTTGAAATGCTACCAAGGCACGACAACCCCAACGGTTCGGCGCGCGCCAGACAGCTGAATGTTAATCGACTTCTCTTAAAAACTGTAACTGCTCGTCGTGTGGTCACCTTATAACCAAATGGAACACATACTCTATTCTTACTCCACTTAACCCCGAGTTATAGTCCATAACGCCATCAAGTCGTTTTTTCAAGTGTTCGAAATTGTTTGTCGTTTATTATTAAGACATAATGATTTTTTCTCTGCCTTCTCTTGAGTCAGAAAGAGATAACAGAAGTAATAGTGTCGTCAAAAAATTTATTATCGATATGCATTTAAAAATTCGAATAAAATTGAGTTTCATAAAAAAAATTACAAATCGAGACTTGCTCTACTGAATATTTTATTTTTATTTAAACTAATAGGATATTTAGTCTGCAGATTTGTTCCCATATGACTTATTTGAAATAAATTTTGATTTTATTTTCGTAGGGTGTAACTTGGCTGGTTCACTGAAATGAGTTCTCCCGGGGGACTCTATTTTTGCATTAGATGTATTATCGAGGATCATGTTCGTCTATTAAGTACTTTACCCTATTGGGGTTTTCTACCCCATGTTCAACTTATTCGTGGCTTGGTATCGTTCGTGAATAATCTGATGATTTATATCACTTAGATGGTATCGTGTTCATTTTCAAAATTGTTTTGATTTTTGTTTAATTTTATATAAAATATTACTGAAGCACATAGTTTACTTAACTCCATAGTATATTTGATCAATTATTTTAATGAAACTTTTGTTTCAAAACTCTAGTTATTATTATACTATATCATTATACTTAAATGAAACAACCTGTAATATATATATTTACTAATTATTGTTTCAAATATTTTATTTATTTTTTATCGTTCATTTCAAAAGACAACTTGAAAATTGAATTCGATTTTAATTGACTTATTTTTATTAAACGATTATAGTTATTTGTTTACTGTATGTATGGTAACTTGCAACTAAAAATACATTGAATCTATTCTTGATCATTACAGCGATTCGGTAAATAAACTTGAATTACTAAAAATATAATTGGAAATGTAATTTATTTTTAACGTCTTAGCATAAAAATATAAAGTTCAAAATTGATGGCATCCTTTAATGTTTATCATTTCTTTCTTTATATTCAATATTGCGTAGGTTTCAACATACTTCAAAATTTCCAAGAAAAATGTAATATATTGATGTTTATTTATTCTATATTGGGTTATATTTATATTTCGGACTCCAATAATTTATTAATTTCATGAAACGGATGTAGACTAGTTGCTATTCATTGAACAACGTTCAAATAAAGCTATTTATATTGGATTTCATTATTAAAATTAGTAGTAAATTATTGTTTCCATGTATTGCATAATAATGTTCAATCATATTGTGTACATTTACATGATATTATAATTACTTAACGTTTCGTTGTGATAAAAACCCCAAATGAAATAATGAATTTTAAGTTTTTTTTACTCATTATATTAAGTCTTTTTGTTATTTCAAGTGAAAACCTTTCTACGAATAATAAAATTGATCTTGATTTTTAGCTTAGGTGCGTAGTTAAGAAGCCATTGATTTTTACTTGTGGTGTTTTATTTTTTTTTAATTAATGTTTATTAAAAATATCAGATAAAATTTGAGAAAAAAAAATTAAAATATATTCGCCCGTTATTATTCTCTCAATAGTCGTGTAATGGCAATATTATGTTGTGAACTTTTGCCCCGTTAGTTCTTTCTGCAAGTGTAATGTTGGCTCAAGTGCAAGAACAAAATAGTTGCCCCGACGTGAACTAATCGACCTAGTTTCTCGTTATTCTGTAAACATAAAAGTGTCCTGTCAACAAGTCCTATGTCGAGTTTAATGGCCCGATTGTTTCACAACACCCACTCTTTGGGGTAAATCAACATATGTGTTATTTATATGGCCAGTTTTAAAATCTCGTATTCAAAGTCTTATCTTCAGCGACGGAAGTGTAACCCTCAGGATCGTACACTTACTCTCTCAACTAAGCAGCACCTGTTATACACTGAGAAAACGGTACACCAACAATAGTAATAATAATAATAATGATATTTTACGCGGTCGATTGGGTTCGAAACAAAAGCCATTCCACTCCGTATGGTCGGTGTGATCGTGTTGCCGAAAACGAAACCGTGTAAGGGTTGATGCACTTCGACGGCTGTTGCAGCGGTCCGTGACGTAAGGTCTGGAGTATCCCTCTTTGCCCACTCTCTTGTATGCGACTTGTCAGCTAGGGGATGAATGCGGCCGTGACAACCGACATTGTTTCTAATCAAACGAACTGTGAATTACAATATAATATTATTGTTCTTTCGGGCACGCGGCGGTGGTAGCGGTGGAGGTAAAATGGGGGTAGGTTGTGGAGGAGGGAAATCGGCAGACGGTTGCGGAGGAGGGTAATCGGCAGACGGTTGTGGAGGAGGGTAATCGGCAGACGCTAGGGTGCGAGTTTATGTAAGTTTAGCGTCTGCGAGTTTAAAGCGCACCATTAATATTTATGTGCTAGTGCGGCGATTGAATTAAAACACGTCCGGCCAGAGGATCTAAAGTGTATTACAGGACCGGAAGTTTGGTACAAGAATAACACCAAATGAGGTACCGATAATGGAAAATATCGATTATCCCATTACACTAAGACTCTTGGTCGAACCCTCGATGTTAATAATAATCTGTTAATTAACATGACATCGATGGGTCTGTAAGGTAGTTGGTGGTGTAACATGAAATAAAACGTTTTAATTCAATTAGATTTATTAAACATGCTCATGGATATATACAAAGAATAAAACGAGGACTACTCGTTTAATTTATGATTCATACATACCAGTCCTTTGGTTTTATTTCGCTAGAATTTAGGTAACTGTTAAATTTTTTGGGCGATACTTCNGGTGTAACATGAAATAAAACGTTTTAATTCAATTAGATTTATTAAACATGCTCATGGATATATACAAAGAATAAAACGAGGACGACTAGCTAATTTATGATTTATACATACCAGTCCTTTGGTTTTATTTCGCTAGAATTTAAATGTTTTGGGCGATACTTCTGTTTACAGCGACATTATTTTTATAGGTAAAAATCGCCTGATATTGTAATATCTATTAAACTTTAAGCTTAAAGAATAAATTCACAAAACTCAAATTAATATTTTTATTTTTTACATAAACTACAGTGTACGATCCGTTCTATTTCTATTCTATCTTATTAAGTACAAAAGGTTACTTAACGGGCTGTGAGATTTTCAAAAGTTACTAGAAATCCACGAAAACAAAGTGCATTTGTTATACAAATCGCAATTGTTTTTATATATAGTTATTATATATAGTTTATTATATAAGTTATTAATATATAGTTATTTTTGAAAAGTATTTTCCTTAATATATTCTTACTTAGACATACACTGGAACAATATTANCGTTCTATTTCTATTACTTCTTAATAACTATAAAAGGTTACTTAATGGGCTGTGAGATTTTCAAAATTTACTAGAAATCCACGAAAACAAATTGCATTTGTTATACAAATTAGTTTTTATTAGTATGTATAGTTATTTTTGAAAAGTATTTTCCTTAATAAATTCTTATTTAGACATACACTGGAACAATATTAGTCGCAGTAAATCCTTACAAGGAATTGGGTATATACTCAAATGTAAGTATTAAGATACTACTTTAAATATTATCCATTAAATTCAAACATTTTTTTATATTTATAAACACAATTAATATTTTAAACATATAAAATCAAATTCATTAAATATATTTGTTTTACTTATAGCTAAATCGTTAAATGCAGAAAGGAACTAGTTCATTTTTAATGTTTTTTGGGAGAGAAGAAAAAATGTATAAATTAACTTCATTATTTTCAGTCAATATTAATCTTTCAGAGGTCTATTTTATTAGTGTTTTAACTCGATAATTTGTATGAATTACATAAAAGCTGTGTTTAAATTTAGTGACGCCTTTTTGCATTTAGTGATAAATACATATTTTCCTTTATCATATATAATATTAATTTCTGTAAGATATTTTCTGTACCTTCTAGTTACACCAAGTAAAAGGTATTTGTTTTTGTTTAAAGAGAAAAAAATTGATGTAGGTCTAAAAAAGTCGGGGTTTTTGGAACATTTTTAAAAAATTGAATAGAAAAATATTTGATACTACAATTATGTCTCTAGTACTTTGGTAAATGATATGATTTTTATGTCAAACAGTAAGACCAAATTCAATTCTTCCTGAACTAAAAGGCAAAAACTAACTATCAACTAACAATTATGTAGAAATTGTCAAAACTTTACATCATTTTTAAGATAATTTTATAGCAATTAACTTTATACTATCGAATTTAGTGTTAAAACTAATTTTAAAACAATTACCTATCAATATCTTTTTGGAGAAAACTCATTTCTTCTTTATTTTATTTAGATCTATAAAAAAAGTAGTAGATATTAGAAAATATGAGATATGTGTAAAAAATACACATTAATTGTTATTAAACATGTTATGTGTTTAATCTACCAATTTTTATCTTCCATAAGTTGCCATTAATAGAGTTATGTAGAACTGAATACAAATTTATTGATTTCATTATAGTAACAATTTATAATATAATTTTGATATATTACATTAAAAATTAAATTACGATAATAATAGATCACTATGAACACCCCTTAAAAAGGGTGGTATTAAAAAATTAAAATTTGAATTCAATAATTTCAAAAACATACATTTCGACTTTTTTTACTACTCGATAATAAAAATTACGGCTCATGATATTTTATTTGTCTAAAATCGAATTTGTCCTATTTTGTGTCGTTGGCAAGGTAATTTTCCGAAGTATTATCAATAAAAATTTTGCCTTGATTCCATTCAGTTTTCAAATAGTCATTTTGATATAAATTGAAAAATAAAATATCATCATTGACACATATAAAAAAAAAAAAACGTGACACAATAAAACAAATAGCTTCTGAAATAATCTTAACCAAAAAAGAACTTTTGTTGGTTTTCAAAGTTATATTTAAAGATTCACTGGGGATCAGTTAATACTTTTAATTGTAAAGTTAATATTAAACAGGGTGGATCTCTTACCACATTCACCATAGATGTCGTTAGTGAGGTTACAATGCAGAGCCCTAGTTTACCTGTCAGGTAATCAGATAATATCGAGACATAATATGTCTCGATAGGATTCTATGGTTTACTTAAATATGATGTTATAAAATTTATATGAATGTAAAATATTTATTTATCATAATTAATAAAATTGAAATTTAACATTTTTTTTTTTTTTGAACAAAAATTTTTTAGTATTGTTATACTGCTAAATTCATATCTACAATAGTTATCTCTAAAATTTCAATATATTGACTCAACGTTAAATTGTTGAATGATCTGAGTAAATAAAACATTTTCACATCAATATAAGTATGCAATTAACTCCATGATACCACAATGTACCTAAAAAACGTTTAATATTTTTGTTGTATGCCCAAAAGAGGGGTGTGACTCAGCCACCGGCAACGTCAAAAACGGCGTCGACAATAGCAAAGCCGACGAGCGTTTCTCTGTGTACACCCGCCGAGCCTCCGACGCTTATTGATCTGTTGTGGCCGGTACCCCGTGGCAGAGAACAGCCAAATTTTACATTCGTCGTCCCTTGTTCATCCCTCGTTCACTTTTTCCACGCTCAAACTTACCAACACATGTAAAATCTTATTCCATCTGATGACGCAACACTACATACAAAAAAAGTGTGTTTGTACTCTTATACATTTAAATAATTAGTCTGAAACATGATTAAATATAAAAATATCTATATATACACGTGTAATTTAAATCGAAAAACGGAAATTAAGATTTATCGGTGTTAATATGAGAAATATAAAGAAAATATTTTAATAATAAACTAATCTGCAGAGTAACTAAAAGTTTGTAAAGAATTAAGTAAAGCGAAATCCAACATAGCAGAGTTGCCTTAACTCTATTAAGGCGTTAGTTTAAATTACTATCGTAAAACGCTTCAATGCGTATTTTAAACAAATGAAAAAAAAAATTCTGTCATATTTGTCAGAAATTTCATAACATTTGACTTAAATAACGTTTTTTCTTAGAAGACAAGTCACCGGTACATGTGATCTAACCCAACATCTAGAAATCGTGGTTTCGGATAGTTTTTTTTCAATAATATTTTGCAGCGATCCGTTCAGTTTAAAATAAATATAAATGTAAAGTATATATCATACGAGTATATATTTTTAATTTTCACAATACAGCTGTATTATAACAACTGTAATTTTTTGGGATATTTCACTTTCTTACGGGAATTGAGGGAAATTTTTCAAAATTATAGTGCTCATAGTTTCAACTAGATATGTTTTGTGGGTCTTCTAGCGTATTGTTGAGCAAAATCTGTCAACTAGAATTGGAGACATGTTGTAAACAAAAAAAAAAAAGCGTCGGGGTAAAACCAATAGCATTTGAGCTGCCACACATCGGAGCTAAAATAAAATATTATATTTACGTTATACATTAAAGCAAGGTTCTTATGAGACTGTAAACATTTGAAGAACTCATTATTTTAATTCTACTTGTAAAACAATGTAATTAGTCAATATTAGGGCAATGTAAAAGTTGTACTTAAAACTCACCCAAATGCTCCAACTTCTTAAATATCCTCAAATAAATTATAAAACTATCCTTTTATCAAAAATAAAAACAAGTTATTATATTTGATTATACTTGATTTGTTTGACTACCTTATTTATTTTAGGCTCTAATATAAAAGCTTTTGTTTTCAGTTAAAACTTATAAACTCACACTAAATAAGTACATTTTTGGAAAAGAAAGTTTTTTAAATAAATAAATCGATTTGGATTGTTTTGTACTTTGAAATAACTTCTGTTAAGAGCTGTATTAAGAAAAAAGTTGGGTAGGTAAAAATTAGCACCCTCCATTGGTGTAAATATGACACAATTAATAATATATACAGAGTGTTCAAAAAATAAGAAAACAGATCAATTGTTATAAACAATGAGAACAATAGAAACTCGTGTCCTTACTTCCTGAACAGCCTCTATATATTACGTGTTATACTATACAAACACAGTAAATGTGCAAATCAACATAATCAGTGTCTAAATACAATATTCTAATCTCTATTGGATCTAAATGGAATGATGTAAAAAAAATTCGCTATATGGCGCAGAAGGAAAATTTCTGTTTAGACCTAGGACCCCTTCATTTTAATAAAAACTTCAATTTTACATTAAAATAAAAATAAAAATAAATAAAACTATAATTATTTATTTGTAGGATCATGTTTTTCAATATCACGGATCGAAAATTGGTGTTTTAGAGCCGCACGTTTTTGCAGTAGCCGAAGCAGCGTACATAAGTCTCCAGAATGGCGATATTGACCAATCCTGTGTAATATCAGGTGAAAGTGGCGCAGGAAAAACAGAAACAACTAAATTTATTTTGCAGTACTTATGTTCAGTGACCAGTAACGTCAGTACGTGGGTTGAGCAGCAAATACTTGAAGCTAACACTATACTTGAATCATTTGGTAAGTGTTTTAATTACGTTTGTAAATTGTGGTTTCAAAAAATTGTCATTGCACTAGAAATTTTAATTTTTTTGTTTAATTTAAATGCTTTTTGTGTATTTATTTTTCTAGGAAATGCTAAAACTGCACGTAACGATAACTCGAGTCGTTTTGGAAAGTTTATGCAAGTCTGTTTTGATAGTAAATGGATGATAAAAGGATGTATTATTCAAGATTATTTACTAGAACAGTCCAGAATAACTTTTCAGAGTGCCGGAGAGAGAAATTATCACGTGTTTTATCAACTTGCAGAGGGTGCTAGGGTAAGTTTTTAAAATGGTTTGACCGTTTTTCTATTTGCTTTTATTATAATGCATTTTTATTTTATTGCAGCATAACAAAGATTTAGTTGAACTATACAAGTTAAAACCTCCTGAGTTTTACAATTATTTAAATCAATCGGGATGCATTACCATTGACGGCGTGTCAGATGTACACAAGTTTGATGCCTTACGATTAGCTTTTAATGTACTACGTATTCCTTTAAACATGGTCGATGGTATTTTTTGTGTGTTATCCGCTATACTCTGGTTGGGTAATACCGTATTTCGTGTAAGTTTAATCAATTTTAAAAATATTTTGCTATACTAGTTGTTTAAAATTAAAAATTGCTTTTAGGATATTGATGGAGAAAAATGTCAGTTGACCGAAAGCGACCTAGAAATCCTGTCGGTAGTATCTCATCTGTTAGGATTACAAACCGAAGATTTAGTCCATGTAGCACTTCTCAGACAGATCAATGTCCGTGGTAATATCACAGAAATTCCATTAAAAATCCAAGAGGTATAAATCAATGAATAATATTTTTATGACCATTCAAAATTTATCTCATAATTTTGATACTTTAGGCTATCGAGAATCGACATGCTATGGCAAAAGCTTTGTATTCAAGAACATTTGCTTGGCTTGTGAATCATATCAATACATGTACAAATCCAGGTCAAGACTCTTCCAGATTTTTGGGTGTGTTGGATATATTCGGGTTTGAAAACTTCGCTGTAAATTCATTTGAACAGTTATGCATCAACTATACAAACGAAAAACTCCACAAATTTTTCAATCACTATGTTTTTGCTCTCGAACAAGAAATTGTAAGTGTTTATAATTAAAGTAGCGGTTCGTTTAGGAAGTCATTATTAATCTTGACTACGTTAATTGTTTAGTACCGTCAAGAAGAGATTAAGTTTTCCCATATTCAATTCACGGACAACACGACTTGCTTAGAGCTTATTGAAAAACCCCCTCGTTGTATTCTCAAGTTATTAACTGAACAATGTCACATGCCCAAGGTATATTTTTTCTGTAAAACTAATTTTTAAAAAATCATATATTGGACACTTTGAGGAGTCACGTAATCAATTTTTAATCTATTTTTCGGAATGCTTGATCTTTTTTGTTAATCATTATTTTTTTCTAATGCGAGGATATTGTCTCAAATCTCTCAACCAGCATATACATTTTAAATATTATTTTTTTCTAATAGGGTTCTGATACTACTTATCTAATGAACTTGCACACGGAATTTGAAAGTCATCCACATTTCGTCAAAGGTGACGACCGTAGAAAATGGGAATCTGAATTCGGTATTGTTCATTACGCTGGTTCAGTCACTTATACTGTCAGTGGATTTGTTGATAAAAACCGTGACGTTCAACAAGACGTATTTTTTGATTTTATGACACGTTCGACAAATGTCTTTGTACGCGAGTTAATCAAATACCAGGTAATTGTTTTTACTTTATTCACCATTGTAACAAAAAAGTTTATAGTTCTGTAAAATTTTCATGTGCAGGACTTACTGGGTGCTACTGTTTCACGAATGGGTAATAATAACTCAACATCTACTAGAGGTACAACAAAAGGTCGACCTACTGTCAGTGATACTTTTAGACATCAGTTACAAGCTTTAGTCGATGTTCTCCAGTCTACCAATCCATGGTAACTATTGAAATAATGATATATAAATTTATACTATTAAAATAATAATTATTTTAGGTATGTGAGATGTATTAAACCAAATATGATTAAAGCCCCAGATCATTACAATGAAAAACTTGTTTTGGATCAACTAAAATACTTAGGAATGTTGGAAATCATCAGAATTCGAAAAGAAGGTTACCCTATACATTTATCATTTCATGACTTCCTTGCCCGTTACCAGTGTTTGGTTAGGAAAAAGTTACCTGAAGATGAACGTTCAGCTGTTAAGTATGTATATTACAATAATTTGTAATTTAATTATATTTCAATTTTGTACATACTATGTTTACATTTTTTACAATTTATTATTTTTATATATTTTATTAAAAACTTTTTATGATATAGAGCATTTTTGACATTGCAAAATATACCCAATGAAGAATGTCAAATAGGTAAATCTAAAGTATTCTTAAGAAATAAGGCTCATGAACCACTTGAGGACAAACGAAAAATAATGCTCAATTTAATGGCCACAGTTATTCAAAGAAACTGGAAAGGTTATTTCATTAGAAAAGGTAAATTTATCAAACTATTATTTTTCCACTCACATTTTTGGTGTTTTCTATTAGTAATTTTTTATTTTACTTATAATTAATTATAGATTACATAAAAGTAAGATTTTCTATAATAATTATTCAAAACGCATTTAAAAGTTGGAAGCAACGGTTAGAGTTTTTAAAGAAACGGAGAGCAGCTATTATTATTCAGTCACATTTAAGAGGAGTGTTCGCACGCGAGGTATGATAATGAAATTTTTATATTGGACTTTTAGAAAATTTGTTTCAAATGTATTTTGTGTTTGTTGATTAGGTTGCAGCTGCGTTAAGAGAAATGAGACGAGTTGAAGAAGAAATGAGAAAGCGTGAACGCATGGAAGAAGAAAAACGTAAGGCTGAAGAAGCTAGAGATCTAGAAAATCAGTGTAAAGAATTACAAATTAAAAAAGAAGAAGAAGAAAAGTATATATATTTTTTTATTAAAGAAATAGTAAAATCGAAAATTACAAATTTTTTTTAGAATATCTGAAATAGAATTTGCAAAATTAGCAGAACAACTCAATTCAAGATTGCATGTTGATACCGTGCATGAATCTGTAGACCTTGATAATCTTTTTGCATTTTTATCTGATGTTCAAACTGGTGCTCGTACAACATGTGATTCATTAGGCGACCATATGAAAGAAATAGTAAGCGAATTCGATGAGGTAAATTGCACATATCTAATCAATCTAAGTGATTCTTCTTGCTTTTTAGTCATTTTTATTAAATGTATTATTTGTTTTTTTTACAATCAAACATGTATTTCCCCATAAAGAATATTTGATTTAATAGTATAATTATCTTTTCAGATTGTAATAGTTGTAAAGTTTTGAAAATAAATAATACTACCATTAGTAGTTTAAAATTAATACACTTTAATATAGAATATTAAAATGTTAAGTACTTATTATAGAACCACTTAGAAACAAATTGCACCAAATATTTAACTACTATTTAACCTTTTTATAATTAGTTATATGTTGTTTTAGCTGGAAAATGTAATTCAAAGAGAAATTGATAGTGTAGAAATGGAAATTGAACAAAACGAAAGAGAGAAAATAATTTCTGCTTCAAATGTACCAATACTACCAGAACCTTCTTATCCTCCACCACCGCCTCCTCCTTTTAATCAAGAACCAGTAAAACGTAAAGATGAACCTATTTATGAAGCTGTTCTTCCTAGAGATGAAGAATCAGGATCACCTCCTCCACTTCCTACACCACCTCATAAATTAGTTTGTGCCAAAAGTCCTGTAATAGATAATGTACACAGACCTATGAGCCCTGTTACAACTTTATCTTCACCGCGGCAAAGTCGTCCAAACTCAAGAACTTCTGGAACTGGTGTAAGATAATACATTTTTAAGTCTTTTTTCAAGTTAAAACTATAAACATATTATTATTTTCATTTTAACACGATTATTGGGTTTTAAAATTGTAGAAACCATTTAAAATTTACAAAATTATATATCATTGTTATCAATGCAATAATACATATTTCCAAAATAGAATTTTTTTTTTTTTTAATATCTAAAAATATGATATTCGTAGACGCATATACAATGAACTCTAGACAAAAATTTGCAGCCCAAAAATATAATTCTAATTATGCCTATGTATGTAGTGCATTGTAAATGGTACTATCAGACTATTATTTTTATTTTTTATGATATGTGACACTGGATTATTAATGAGATTTCAATGCAAAACCGTGTGTTTACAAAAAAGAAAATCTGTTTTGGAAATATGTGACATTGCATTGACAACAATTATATAATGAATAACCTGTGATGCTGATGCTTTTTCTTTTATATTTTAACTACAGGGTACAAATAATTGGAAACATAGTAATGGTTTTATTGAAGATACTGAAAGAGACCAAAGAAGAAAGTTTAGAGTAGAAAAAAAGCTAATGGAAATGGAAAACATTCAAGAAAAATCTACCATTGATCCACTTCAAGAAAATTATCATGATATTCTTGAATTTGCTGAAAATTATTTCAATGCTCATGAACGGTCACCCGAAGGTATAAAAAATAATAATATTAATATATTAAATATATAAAAATAATAATAATATTAAACAAGAAAATTATAAGGAGTAAACCATCCACCTCAGTAAAAATTTAGCTAATTGTGAATTAAAAAAAGTTCACAGAATTAACTAACTACTGAATTTTGATAAAAACAAAAATTAGAAAGAATTATAATAGAAAGTGACTGACTATATCTTTCCTAGTACTCTTCTTACCATTTCATTAATAATACATCATTTAATTTTAATGATTCAATTTGATTTGTAGGTACAATTATAGCTACATTAAAAAGAAAAAGTAAGTCCATGGAAAAAATTCCAATGTATGAAATGGTTTCTTTTCATCGAGGATCTACAATACCAACATCACATATTCATATGTATGATCCTGATAACATTACAATAGCAGTGTCTATATTTCGAGTTAGTATTATTATTTATTAAATTCTATTTTTTAAGTTATTAAAAAAGTAAATTTTTGCAGGATCTTTGCAAATATACACGTGGTGACTTAAAACAAGACCAAGAAGTACAAATTATTCAAACTATAATTGGTGCTGGAATTAGTCGTGAAGAGTTACGCGATGAGATTTTTGTGCAATGTATGCGACAAGTTACTAATAATCCTAATTTAGATTCCACTGAAAGAATCTGGCTTCTCATTTGTCTTGTTATTGTAGCATTCCAACCTAGTAAAATATTGTTCAAAGTAATTTTGTTATTATAATAGATAATATTCTTAATTTTAATATTTATTATTTTTGTTTTCAGTATTTTGTTAGCTTTTTACGAAAAAATCTGCGAACAGATGGTAAACTCAAACAATATGTCCAATGGTGTTTAGATAATTGTAAGAACACTAAAGTATCTTGTAGACAGTACCCTCCATCTACTGTTGAAATTGCTGTAAGAAACTTAAATTTTATTATTATATTCTATTAGTTCTATTCCTACCTATTTTTATTCTATAATAGGCAATGAGACGTCTTGGAACAATTGTATGTAGATTCTTTTTCTTAGATGGACGAACTAAAGCTATAGATATTCATCCAACAGACACAGCAAGTGATGCAGTGTGTAAACTTGCTGACAAACTGTGCTTAAGGTCTATTGATGGTTGGTCAATATATCAGAGTCGTGCAGATGGCGAGGAACATGTTCGAGCTCATTATTATCTATATGATGTCATTGCTGCTTGGCAATCGTAAGTTAATTTTCAATTTAAATATTTAACATGTTTGAAAACTCATGGTTAGTCTAGTTTTGTGTATTATAACTTATTTTTACTATAATTGTAGAAAACAGCAAGTCAAACAAACAACTCCAAGTAATTTTCCTTCTATTAGCCGGCGGGCAAGTAACACTTCCCTTAGCAGTGGTGAAAATCGTTTTATATTTAAACGTAGACTTTTCCGACATTCGAGAGAAATATCTCAAGACCCCATCGAAGTCAATCTATTATATGCTCAAGCTGTTTATAGTGTAGTCAAAGTAATTATTCACTATAACCCAAATTTTATACAAAAATTAACTCCATTATTTATTAGTGCGATGATTTTCCTGTCAGTGAAAAAGTAGCTCTTCAGTTAGCAGGACTTCAATGTCAAGTGTCTCTAGGTGATCCTAAAGAATCTACATTAGAGTTTTATGCAGATGTGGAAAATTACTTACCTTATCGAATTAGTAGAACGAGAAGTTCAGACAATTGGGTAAATAATACTTAATGCTTTATCAAAAAGTTGAAAAATATTGAAATTAATTAATATATATTTATATATCCATTTTTTCTTATTATTTTAGGTCCCTATACTAGCTCAAGCCCACCAGCAATATGGTGCTGGTAGATCAGAACTTATGGCAAAAGTATTATATTTGTCATGTGTTATGCAGTATCCATTATATGGTACCACTATGTTTCATGTTACCTACAGAGGATATTGGTCCTACGGTAAAAGGAATAGATACATTTATCAAAAAATAAATATATATTTCAAGAAAAAAAAATTTTCTCATTATAGGTAACAACCTGATTTTGGGTGTCAATTGTGTGGGTTTAATGTTGGTCAAACCCGATGACAAGTTTGTTATGTATGAATTTCGCTATTCTGATGTAGAATCTATATTTTTGGATCCTAGTGACTGTTTCCTTACTATAAATTTAATGAGACATCAGAACGACAGTGCTTCAGCTCAAAGATGTTTTGTCTTTGAAACTCAACAAAAAGGAGAAATTGGTTCTCTTATTGTTAGTTACTGTCCTGGACTTGCTGGTTGGATTAGTGAAAACGAGGCACCAGTAAGAAAGACTTATAATATATATTTATTAAATTAAATATTTTTGTTAACAATAATCATATATTTGTTGTAACATTAAAAATATATTTATAATTAATTAGGTCAAAGCCATTACAAATGATGATCGAATCAGATTATATCATAATGTGATTAATTGCCGTCGGAATTTAATTGATTCTGATATGCTCAATAAACCTCAAGACACTACTGGAAATTTTTTGAAAAATACTTTAAGAAGGTAAGCATATTTCACAAATTTCTGTTTAATCTACAAATTTATATGATGATATAGATTTATGTAATGCCTAAAAATAATATTTTCAGATTAAGCAAACATAAACTAGAAAAATTATGGACTGAACATATTGGATCATTATCAGAACATGGTGAAACCTATAAGGGATTTTCAGGTTCCTACTGGTCCTTCAGCAGACAACCTATTATACAAAGTCTAAGTCGTTTGTCTGAACAAGATGAACAAATTGCTATTCAAATGTTTCAAATAATGTTGAAATATGCTGGCCTTGGTCAAAATGGTAAACTTTTAATATTTATGTTTGACTAGAAATTATTTTACTAAAAAGAATACTGTACTTTTATAGGGGAAGTTGTTCGAAGAGCTGAAGATGAACACATAACACTTATACAAACTGTTATGGAGCGTTCAATGCGGAAAGAATCTTTGCTTTGTGAATTATATCTACAATTAATTAAACAAACAACTGAGCATCCTGATCCCAATTCCAGGGTAAATCTTAGACACTGGGCACTATTGTCACTTACATGTTCTGTAATCTTACCACCACAACGCAATATTCGCAAATACTTGATTGCACATTTAAGAAAATGTGCTGGGGATTGTGTTACTGAAGAAGGAAAATATGCTCGTTTTGCTGAAAAAGTGAGTTTTTGTTATTTATATTTCGTTCTTAAATTAAATATAAAAAATGTTTAGTGTGTATCGAAAACCCAAGGTACTAGACGTAGACAGTGGCCACCATCTAGAGAAGAAATACTTTGTACAATAAATAGGAGACTAATATATGCAAGATTTCATTTTATGGATGGTCAGTATCATGCCATTGAATTCCATCCTTCATCAACAGCTAAAGATGTTGTAGAAATAGTTAAGATGAAAATAGGTCTTCGGAAAACGGCTATGGGTAAATTTAAACATTTTTAACAAGATGCATTGTTAAATGTATTTGATATTTAGGTTATGCTATTTATGAAGTCTTGGGAAATTCAGAACGGAGTTTAATACCAGAAGAAAAATTAGCAGATGTTATGTCAAAATGGGAAAGGTACAGAAATGCTAATACTGGTGGTGCTAGTACAACAAAGACTATGCGAAAACACAGTCACATATTCCTATTCAAGAAACACCTATTTCTAGACCAATATATGGATTTGGATGATCCTGTTGAAAAAGAACTGTTATATCATCAAGTATTACATGGTCTTCGATGTGATAGATTCCCTGTAACTGATCAAGAAGCGGTATGAAATATATATTATATATATAAGGGTTAAGTTGACATCTAACCCTTAACTTGAGTCGTTTCTATTGCTAAAAACTATATTTAGTGATACAAATGTTTATTTTATAGGTTATGTTGACTGCTCTTCAAGCTCAAGTAGAATTAGGAGACTGTGAAGATCTTGTAATGGAGTATAGACAAGTCTCATGTCATTGTCTTCCAACTAGACTAGTAACCAATGTGCCAAATGAAGATGTAGCCATGCATCATCAAAGTCTTAGAGGTATGACTTCGGCAGAAGCCAAAAAATCCTTTTTAAACCTAATTAAGAGCTGGCCCCTTCATAGAGCTACTATTTTCGATGTTATGGTGAGTGCTTTTTTCTAGTGATGAAATTTTTTGAACTTAGTATTTACTAATTTAGTATTTAATTTTATTTAGCAATCATTTACATCGAATTGGCCTCGTGTTTTATGGTTAGCAGTTGATCAGACTGGTTTACATTTACTAGAACATCGCTCTAGAAATGCACTGTGCTCTTATGAGTATGACAGTATTTTAAGCTATAGTCCAGCTGTAAATTGTCTCATGATTATTACTGGAAGTGATAAAAAACAAAGCAAAATCATCCTTACTACATCTCAGGTATATTTGAGCTAAATATTTTTTAGATTTATTTCATTACTTATCACAAATTTTTGGTATAATTTTGATCGATAATTTGAATAATTTATTCATAAGTTATTTAAGTGAAGTTGGTAAATTAAAAATATTTAATTTAAGTTAAATAATGTTCGTATGTCTGGAGTACCCCGACGTAGACACAAAAATAGTACACAAATTATCTAATATTTTTAACGACGAGTTCATCGTCGTTTTTGGCTTTTCTCGAATCCTCCCCTTGAATACACTGGTCAGCCTCAATCAAAATTAGTGAACCACTAAAGGGGTAGATTTTAGACCCGTCAGCAAGGTTTAGTTTAAAAGTAGCAGACTGAAGGGTGGCTCCTCGTCAGCCACCAGCAAAACTACCTTTTCACTATACCTACTAAAGAACGGTTAAATTCCAAAATTAGCCAGCACGCACATTAATTATTAAAATCGATTAAAGGACCAGCAGTCCAACCTTCACTCTTGCCGCATATTCACACTATTTTAATAGCACGGTGGATATAAAGTATTTACACTAAGTGTCAGTTTTGAATAGTTATCTTTTATTTATGAAACATAATAAACACAAAATCATAATACAATATAACAATGTAACACAAAATAAATTAAGCTGTTCAAAATACGAAGTTTCATGCACCAAACGTCCTGACCCGTAACTAGACGTTTCTTAGTTAATCCCCCATTACTTTTCTTGTTTCCCTTTATATGGCACTATTATATTACTTAAGAATTTCAAAATTGCTTACTACTGTGTTAAAAACTTATACTTTACTAATATTGAAGTTATTTAATACTTCCTCAGCTATTTACTAAATAATGTAGTATGAATCTTTAGTGATTAATGATTAGTGATTTAATTAATTATTCATTAGAAATGTTGGTATTCGCTTCATAAGAAGATGATTGAATGAGTTCTATCATGTCATATAATTTTTCAGAGGATATTGATCAATATTTCTAATAAATACGAGGTGTGTTCAGAAAATAACGGGAATTTTCGTTTTTTTTTAAATATTTTTTAATTAGTCGTCTACATTAATCTTCTTGCCTTCATAAAAGTCCCTATTAGATATTATTCACTTGTGCCAACGCTTCTTTCAATCCTCGAAACACTTCTAAACTTGATCTTTGGAATAGCCTTCAGCTCATTCAGCGATGCGTTTTTAATATCATCTATGCTTGTAAAACGACAACTTTTAAGGTTCTCTTTAATTTTGGAAATAGAAAAGTCACACGCCATGTCTGGCAAATATAGAGGCCGGAGCATCGTTACAGTATTGTTTTCGGCCAAAAATTCACGAACTAGCAATAAAGTGTGAGCAGGTGTATTTGCTCCATGCAAATGACGTTGAAATAGGTAGTACTCCTTATTGACCGTTTGACTTCGTGGAAAGAATTCATGATGCACTGTGCCATTGAAATCAAAGAACACAGTAAGCATAACCTCTACAGTCAATCGCACTTGTCTAGCATTTTTCGGTCTTGGTAATTCATCTTGAAATGCTTCCACTGGGACGATTGTGCCTTAGTTGTTGTATCCATAAACCCATGTTTCGTCACATGTTATAATACGTTTCAGTAATGCATCGTCATTGACTTCATTAAGTGACTCCAGAGCAACTATAGTATAAATTTTACTGCTACGCGTTTCATACACAAAACATTCGAAAAAACTTCATAGCATGAGCCAATCGATATTCTAACATCCTCAGCGACTTCTCTGATTATGATTCGGCTATCGTTCATAATTATTTCTTTCATTTTTTCAACATTTTCATTGGTTGCTGATGTGCTGGGTTGTCTGGTGCGTTCGTCATCTTTAATGTCTTCACGACCATCTTGGAAACGCTTATACCACTTGTAAACCTTTGTTATACTCATGGCAGACTCACCATAGACTTTTGTTAACATTTCACACACTTTGTTACACTTTATTTCATTTTTTATGCTAAATATACAAATCCTTTGATCCATTTTTTTAACAAACGTAAATTGCCAAACTCATAAAACTATGTCTAACTTTAGCGGTTGCACTGACAAAGTAAAAAATGAATCCAGCTGAAAATTTTATCATACTTCAGAAACATAAGTACCAACATTATAAAAAAGAAAATTTGATAATTGCACTTTCCAATTTCAGGGAAATGTATACTTACATTATGAAAAAAATTTTTTGATAATTGGACTTTCCAAACCAGCGAAATTTAAAAATTCCCGTTACTTTCTAAACACACGTCGTACAATTTTAATTTATTTTTGAAGCAATTAAAAACATTAGAATTTTAAAACTACTTAGCCATTTTATTAGTTTAAAGTGCTATAATTGTTTTTGTAATCGGAAATGTGAATGCTGATTAATAATGGTAAGGTTGAATACAAGATCTTCTGTCCTATTATTTTTTATATAATTTAATAATAAATAAAAACTTCATAATTAGCTAAGTTAAAAACTTTTTTACTACATACCTATACCATTTATTATTTCAGTGGTGATAGGGTTACCTAAAGCTAATTTGATAATGGCTATAGTAAATAAAATAATAGGATACAGTGAGCACCAAGAAAAATTCAGTTAAAAGCATTCTAATAGGAATTAAATATTGATTTGCATCTTAAATAAATAATAAATTTGTCCATTACAAATATCTCTATAAATTTGTTGTCAAACATTAAAGAATTGGCATTTTTTAATATTTAGAGTGGGTATGTAGTGCAGGCGGAGTGCACATACACTAGTACAAGCTGTACCCGTGCTATTCTAATGTATTCAAATACTGTAACGGATGAACATCGTTAACATAAGATAAAAAAATTTTTTTTAATTTTTTCTTTATCATATCAAGCTTTAGCTTTAAATAGGGGTTCCAATTTAAGAAAATAAAGTTTAGGTATTTTTTATCTCCGAAAAATAAAAAAAATTTTTAATAGTATTCAAGAAAACGAATGCCTTATCTTTAATGTAAATAAACTATGTATTTATTTTAAGTATAATAATCATCATATTATAACTATACGAAATTTTACAAATTCGATCAAAATTATTGAAAAATAATTTGAACAAAAAAAATTTCTTAGAGGGTGTCACCGCCGCCATTACCACCTCATCATTACTATGTCATATATATTGCGTATGATTTTTGTAAACAATTATTCTAGTGAATAATTAAAATTACTCATATTTAATGGATGATTCCTAATAAATAAATAAAGTTAAGTAAATATGAAAAAATTCGCAACTTTAATCATCCAGATTGAATAATTAGTTTAATAATTTATAAAAAATTAATTTACTTATACAATATTAATAACTAAGTGTAAATCCAGAAATATGCATATGATAAACTTCGAAAGGGTGTCTTTGTGTCTTAATATTATTTAAAAAGATTAATTTTAATGCCAGATACTAATGCGAGTGGTTTTTCCCGTCGTGTAACAAATAGCTTCTCTGTCCTAATGCAATAATATTAAGCAAATGTTATTGTTAGCAACTAATAGTAAATATCTAATAAAAGCATAGTTTAAATTTGTCTATAATTACTCTTTTTTTTTTTTAGGCTTTTCAAGTTGCTAACTTAATAAAAGAATACACAGAAGTCTTACAGTCACCTCAAGGATTAAAAAAACGAGAAGGTGGTGGTCGTAAAAATGGAGTTAATGGATCAAACTCTCGACCTGTTAGTATTCTTCATAAACCAGTACCAACTATAGAAATGCAAACATAATTTTCTATAAATTATCTTTAAATGCTCCAAAACATTTTTCATATTTTTTTATTTTTGTTTTAATTGTTGCTCTAAGGCTTTAAAAACCTTGATATTGTTAAATATTAAAAATATTCTTAGATAGCTTGTACTTATTTTTATTATTTGATTATTTGTTATTTAGACATAGAATCTAAGTAAATCTTAGTAAAGTCACTTACTAATTTATTTATTTTACCAACAATTAAATTAATATTTATCATGACAATTAGCTATAAATAAATTGTACCATCTTTTTTATTATTAGATTTTTTTATCTAGAAATTAAGAATGATTTAGTAATTTAAGTGAATTTTAACTTATATAACTGACCAAAAATTGTCTAAAATACTATACTCTTAATACATAAATTGATGTTCCAGTATTGAATTATTTATTACTAATGTAATAGTCAATCTCGCCACCTATTTTTATACTTATGTTTTTAAATATTTCTTTTAATAGCTTTTCAAACTGAGTTTTTATTTAAATTTATTATAAAATAATATTTAATAATTAATAAATATCAATTATCTTAAAATGTTAATATAAAAGTTTATATAAAATTATAAATTGAATATGTACATTTCTTAAGAATTTTAATTTTATAAAAAAATGTTTGAATTTTATTTATTAAAAATAAACAAATATTATTGTTGTTATAAATCTTTTTGTAAATATCGTGATTATATTTTGTAATTTTTTATTGTTATAATTTCTGTACCTATTGAGAAAATATGCCAAATATTGTTATAGTAATATATGTTGAATAATTTTATAATTTATAGTAATATTATGTCATAATACAAATGTTTTTAATTTATAACAATGATAGATGTATACCAAATGTGTGCTATTATTTTAATGTGCCACTAATTATTCCTAAAAATATAATATAAATGTATGAACTGATGAGTTCTTTTTGTTGATGACACAAGAATTTATTTTACTTGAGCTTTAATTTTAGTTTTAAAATCTATATTAGTCACCTTTTATTTATTTTTTAACTTATACTGTTGACTATTAATAACACTCCACATTTAATGATTCATGACGTTAGCCAGTAAAATATATAAAATATATAGATAAATTTGTTATTTGATTAGTAAGTGCTGTTCCCTACCAATACATTTATATTCTATAATAAATAACTTAACCTAACACCTAAAATACTATGTTTTTTTTTTCATTTAAATGACAATGAAATATTTTAATATAGTTAAAATTGTAAAAATTGTCATGTAATATGTTAATAATATGTTTATTAAACACATTATTGTTTTATGTCATACTAGAAAAATATTAATCCTCAACCTCATTAGAAATAATAATAATCATGATTTCGTCAAGTTGTTCATATATTACTTTACATAAAATGTAAACATAACTGTTTTCATAAAGTATAAATTCAATAAAAATCCCTTCAATTTAAATACTTCCCACAAAAATAAATAAAATAAATAATTTCATTAATAAGATTAATTGCACTAAAATGAAAAATAATTTGAACAAAGTTATCAAACTCTAAGTTAGTTCTAATTAAATATGACATTTGATAAAAAGTGTAGATATAATTATAATTAAAATATAAGATTGTTAACTGCATAAAATGTTGGACGGAATTCCTAAATGGTGATGCATTAATTAAAAAATCTATAAAACATCTATTAAGTAACATATTACATTTTAACAACCATAGGCACATATTAACTATTAAAATACTCTTAAAACTATTCAAATAATACTTTTATACAGTTTTAACACTTAAGTTATGTGATGAATAAGTGACTAAAAGAATACAATGATAATAACAAAAATAGTTTAAAAAAAATCAGTAAAATACTTTGGTTGAATTTGTTCATTTAATTGTTCGCTGTTTGTTCATATTGGATAGCATCAATGATATGTATGATGTTAGCAGATCATCCATTTTGTAACCAAGTGATGTTTCACATAGTAACTTAGACCCACGGACCAAATTTCCAATAGTCATATGAAAATATGTATTTCCAGATGACCAGTTAGATATTCTAGTAAATTGATGAGTTACTAAAATTTCCTAAATAAAATTAATTTGTACATATATATACAAGTATTATATATTGCCATTAAACCAATAAATGAATTATAATAAATGAATTACTTTAGTTTGTGGATGAATAAGACTGATACCATGCTTGTTGATTGCTATTAATAACAATTCAGGATAATTAGGTTCAGTAGTCTGTTTAACTTCAAAAAATGCTGAACCAAAAGTAGGCCACCGATAAATAATTTTGAGAAATGTTATTTTTGCTTCTTCTGGAGTCATGCCCAAGTCCTGATTATATGCTAAAACAATTAATTTTTTCCAATCAGCTGGATTTTGTGTTTTATACAAGTCTCCAGGTATTAGTTCCCGCAACATTTGCCTGAAAAAATTTGATGTTATCACTAATTATGTTGGTCATTTTATATAGTAATTGTTACGGTATAGCTTGAAGTTCTTGTTTACTTTCACCAAATCTGACTCTATATACCAAAGCAGCTAACCTTGCTGCTTCTTCTTTTGAACATTTATGGTATCCTAAAAATTTTAGTTAAAACATAATTTACTTTTTAATTATAACGTTTATTAAAAAATATAATACATTTTTAACAATAAATAAATACCTCGTAAAAGTTTAGGAAGTTCTTGATGAAAATGAAATATTAAATCAGCATTTCTATCTTTTCCGGGTACTGTGTTGGTCCACAATTTTTTCATAAAGAAAACTTGGTAAGTAAATTGTGGCACTGCTCCTGTTATATAAAAAATAAAATAAAATATTTAATCTAAGTATTCTCTATAGGTGGGTAAACTGAATCAAGACAATATGATACGAGGTGCGTACAATGGACCAACAGATTTGAGAGCATGGACATTATGTCTACTAAAACTAAGTATTCTCTAAGAAAAACTAACCATCACGAGTTGGTCTTGCTTTTTTAATCCAATCTGTAAGATGTCGAACAAAATCAAAGAAAAAGTCACCTTCTGGAACTGATATTACTTTATCAGCAATTTTTACAAACAAACTAAAACCTTCACTCGATCGTAAAGTTAATCTTTGTGAAATACTAGTACAAAAATCCTTTGCTCTTGTAGATGAATCTACCTCAAATGCTTCATCTGTGTCATCAGGGAAGAAAACTTTATGAAATATTTGAGTAGTCTTATGTTGAATAGCTTCAACTTCTACTTGATGAGGTGGGTATTTTCTTTGACCATTGCGTATAGTTTTTTGCAAACGCTGCAAAGAATCCTGTGATATTGGATGTCTTCTAGTACGTAAAAACAAATTGAGCTCCTAAAATTATAAAATAAAATTTGGTAATTATTATTATTGAAAAATTTTTCAATTGTGAAAAAAATATATTCTTCAGTTTATTTAGTAACATACTTTTAGTAAGTTTTGACTACAAGCAAATAAACCAGTTGCCAACCACATTAATTCCCAAGCTCTTTCTTCACTTAATCTATTTCGGTTGTCTGTTAACTGTCTCATTAATTGACAATAAATTTCATCCCTTAATATTTCCTAAAGAAATATTTTTTTATTAATCATATGGTTTTGTTATTAAATATAATATTGATATACATGTTTTAAAGGACCATCAAATATTTGATCAGTGTATTCATTTGGCATTCTTCTTTTAGATGGTAAGTCACCAGTGTATTTTAACATGGCTGCAAATGCAAAACAAGCTTCTTCTGCTAATTCTTCCTTACCAGCTAGTTTTCTTAATAATGGCTGTTTCATTGGTTCTCTAGTGTGACGCCATAAATCATCATTATTACCACGTCTCGCAGAACTTAATGTCAATGCTTTTGAAACAGTACGCTTTGGAGGTGCCCTTTAAAAAGAGGGTTGGTTATTATTTATATAGCAATAGTTAATTAATCAACTATAATTATATAAAACTTACCGAAAATGATCAATAGCATATTCTATTAAACTATGAGGTTTCTCTCTAGGCTCTGTACCATTAATTTGCTGAGAATATAATTTGCGACTCTGATCTGCAGCTTCTAAACTAAATAATGCCTACAAAACAAAATTTCCAAATGTTAAAAAAAATGATTTTATTATTACTAATTTTATGATATATTACAAACAAATAAGTACTAAAATTAATTATTATTATTATACTACTGTAATGGTACTACTAATAAATACTATAAATTCTGTTAAAAATGAATTTTTTAAAGTTTATTATGAGTAATTAAATATAAATAAATATTTAGATTTTTACTTATTAGAATAATTCAAAAATTAAGAGTTAGAAAAACACTCAAAGTAGATTTGAAATTGGCACAAAATTTGGGTATAGATTTGAATATTATAATATTTTGCGAGTAAATTTTAATACAAAGACCGGAGGTGTCACACAGGTCTTTTTATTTATCTTTAGGCATTTATAAACCATACTATTTTTTACACGCTGATATAAAAATCCTAGTATCTTTTAAAACACTGGTTTAAAATTTGTTATTGACAGATAATTTTCTTAAATAGACAGTTTTTTTTATGTAAGCTAGTTTTGTAAAATGTATATTAAGAATGTAAGAGATACATATGAAATTTCATAAATATCAATATAATAGAGTTTAAAGTTTTAATTTTCTATACAAGACCAAAAAAAAAATAATCCTTTAATGATTTTTAGTACTTTTTCAAAATTTTATTAGTATGTGGAACATTTTCAATGCTATTGTATAACAATAATTTAATTTTTAACAAAATGTTACATAAACCCTATAAATTCAAAATTCTACTTATACAATTTGAAATTTTTAAATATTTTTATGCTATAGAAACTTATTTACACATTATTTTTATTTAAAGGTAAACCAATTATACTCACTAAAATATCTGAAGGTGGTTTAGATAAAGTAGGTAATACATAAACTGTTTCAGCCGGAAAATCACCTCTTTCCCCTGTTCTATCACAATAACCAACACACCAGCCTGATGTCATTACAGTTTCACCAGTACTTTCTTCTTCTAATATTATTAAATCTCCCTTTTGAAAATTTAAAAATGAAGACCCCTCTCCTAAATTATTATAAAAAATATCATAGAAAATAATAAAAAAAATAAATATAAAAAAATCCGATAATTTACCAGGTGCTTTATAGTCTTGAACACCAATCACAAATGTAGAACGTTTTTTTAATCCTTCTAAAAAGTAAACAACTAAATCTCTAATATCCTCTGCATTAGGACTTTGAAATGTAAATTCTTCACCACGAACAGTTGATAACGTAAAAGTTTGAGTAAAAACTTTTGTTGTCCTACATATAAAAATATATAAATACAAAAATGTGAAAAATTTATTAAATTCTTACTTTTGACTTGAAACCGTGGTTATCTCTGGAAAAGATAATTCTAACAATACTTGCTCTTGATCATCAACAACATAAACTCCAGTCCAATTTACAGCAATTATGACATCATTTTTAGGTAGATTTGGCCCTAAAAATAATAGGTCATTGTATGTATTTAGTTTCTAATAATTAGTATTAACACCTCATTAAAGATTAAAAAATTTATTAACTGGTAGATTACAAAATTCATCAGTTTGGCAAAAATAAAAATTGCTAGTAAATTTATTACTGTCAATTTTTTTTAAATGCATAGTTTTAAATAATAATTGACTAAAAAAAAATTATTTACACATAAATTTAATAAAATATCCAGTTGGTACATAGGCCACACACATATATTTAAAAAAATTATTTAAATAATAATAAATATTCTAAAAAATAAGCATGTAACAATAATTTTTTTAAATAATTAATAAAAAATGATTAATTTTTCACTTTAATCCAGTCTAACATATGTTAAATAACATAAAGAAATACTCAATTAAAACCCACCAACACATATAATCATGTACCAATAAAAATATTGATTATTAACAAAAAATATTACCTGAATTTCTATATGCTTCATAAAATCTGGAGAAAAGCAGAGGCCATTTAAATTTTGCATAACTTACAACATCTTCTTTAACTCTTAATTGAGCAACATTTTCTTTCAAATAATAACTCTAAAGTTCATAAACATGCAATACGTATAAAAATTTACAACCACACAGAAATTTAATTAAAACATTTAACTAAATTGCATTACAATAGCATTTTAAAGAACATAAATTATGAAAGATTATTTAAAAAGATTTCATGCAAAATATTAGTATAAGATGATAAAGCTTGATTTTAAATTATATGTTAAAATCAGAGGCATAGGTACAGGTTATTTATTTGAATACCCATCAAACCACCCTTTACCCACGCCCTAGTTAAAATACACATGTTAATATATTAAGATTTAGAAACAGTAAATAAAATAAAAATTGTACATTTTAATGTAATTTTGTCAAAGAATAGTATTTAGTAAAAAAAGAACTTGTAAGTTATCTACATAAAGACATAAACTTGAAAAGACTATCAAATTTTTATAATCAAAATTTAAAAAAATTACAGTATTTCTTTGAAATGGAAATCAAAATTTCTTACAATATTTTTGTGCATAACATATTATGTATTTCAATATTGAGAGATAGAAAAATAATTAAATTCAATAAAAATTATACTTTGGTAGCTCATTTTCTCAGCTTAACTTAAATTTAAAATAAGCAAACTTAATAAAAATATGCAGTTTAAATATAAATATATCAGTTAAAACTGAAAAATTGTTATCATGCAATCTATAAATTTGAAGATGGAAGGTAAAATATAAACTAGATGGATATTATCAAATGATAACCAAATAAAAATCCAATAATTAAGTTTTGAAATGCACTATACCATAGAGATATACATAAGTGTCCTCAAAGAGGATATGAGGCATCTAAAGCGCAATTAGAAATATCTCTTGGGGGTCCAATATTATATTTAAAAAAATGTAAATAATAAATGTATTCATGTTATTGTATAAATAATATAATATAAAATAAAACTTTTTATTTAACTTTTTTTTAAACTAAGTCCAAACAACACTTTGAATTTGCTTAACATTGTGTAATTACTCTGTGTAATCATAACAGGAATAAGGTTTAAGAAAATGACAATATATAATAACGATTTTTTATCTGCTGCAAAGCAATCCAAATCAAAATTATTGTACTATTTCACTTGTATTACCAAAATAAAAAAAAACATTTTATTTGTCAGTTATAACTAGACAATGGTTAAAATCATCTTATACAACTTTCTATTTAAGAAATGCTCATGAGAAGTCTGGAATTGGGACTACTCTCTTAGTTAGGCCAGTGAGGGGGATTGAATTCACCCCAAAATGAAAATAATTATATGCTAAAGATATTTTTGAAGAATTAGAATTTTTTATGTATATCCTCCTCAAAAAATTTTTTAAGAATATCCCTGGTACATTTTAATATAGAAGATTGTTAAACTTAAAAAATATAAAACAAAATTATTTAGGAAAGAAACTAAATAGAATAACAAGTTAGCTTTTTAATGACACAATAATTTTAAGCATTATTTAAGACAATCAGTTAATTATAACTTTTTTGATATTATTTAATAACTTAAGGGTATAGTAAATAATGAGTTTACCAACCAAATTCTTATATTTTGTGTATAAATCATAGTATTATACCTAGTAAATTACTGTTTGTGACTAAAAGAATGAAAAATACAGCTTTAGAAACAAATTAAATTTATGACACTTTTATAAATGTATTGAAGGCTACCTAAATAGTATTTCATCAAAGTAAAATTGAACTTAAAAATAAATAAATTTCATGAAATTCAAAAAAAAAATTGTCAGATTTAAATATATTTTAAATATTATAAATAAGATTAAAATTTATAGCAAATCTTGACTTTGACTGATTTACTCTTTAAATACAATACTCTTAGAACATAAATACAAAAGTGTGTACCCATAAAATAGCATGCAAATACATTCATTATACTACTTTAAGGCATTTTAATACACAAATATACCTACCTTAAGAAACTGCCTTGAAGAAAAATACTTCTATTGACTTTAAAGTGTAAAGTAATAAACAATAATGATATGTGTATTGTAACAAGTATATTATTCACCCTACACCAGCAAAGAAAACACTAATATACAAAAAACCCATAACCATATGTTAACTTTAATAAATGTCATAATATAAAGACTAGACACGTATCCAAGATTTTATTTCGAAGTCAACATTTTTATATATATATATTATAAGTTTTCACTCATATTATAACTAGTGTTGAATATTACAATTTAATGGAGGGAGAAATGCAGACTTTATGAACCCTGGATACAGTTAAATATTTGTTTTATATTAATTTCTTAGGATTACCTTTTTATATGCTTGAATAATTAATGTATTCCAACGTTCTATAGACTTCTCAGCATTTGTTAAACAATAATCAGGTATATAATTTGGCAACAAGTTTAGTAACCTCTCAGTATTGAGGTCAGTGTTGTGTTCAATGTAATACTGTTGAGCAGCAATCATAGCTAAATCTTCTTCCTTTAATAGAATATATATATTTTGGTCAGTAAAGTTTTGAAGATATATAATTAAAAACATACCTTATCACATCGATATTCACCAAATTTCACACCTCTTACAACTTGTTGATATATAAGGTTTGTGGCAACTTGATCTTCAGTTGGTTCATGCCAGGGTGCAAAAATTTCTTTTCTAAAAAACAGTCTCCATGGAGCATTGCGTTCTTGGGCACCTTGTTCTTTAGCATATTGCTCACATTGAGATATAGCATCCATTACATGATCACCACCACTTCCCAAAGAAGATACCTAGAATAAAAGTTGAAAACATATTTTAGAAAAAAAAAAAAATAATAAATTTGATTCAATAATTACATTGTTATAGGATTATTTTTAAATATTCTATTAAATTTGGTAGTTTAAACACATAAAAAAAAGTTCATTGAAATAATTTATAAGTTAAGTTATACAACCTAGAATACTTTTTTTTCAAAATAAAATAAATAAAATACTGTTAAAATTTTTTTTTTTTATAGAATAACTCAAATTTTTAATAAGGTGAAGCGTATTAAATATCTAATGCAGTAATGTTAGATACATTTTTAAAATATATTACTAAACAAGCAACATGAATGTTTCTTTTTCATGTCTATGTTAAAAGTGTACATAGAGTGTATCATTAAAGTCATTAAAAAACACATATCAAGTACAAATGCATAGGTGAGTTTAATATTTAGTAAGTGTATCACATGTTTGTGTAAGATATCTAATAAAAAGTATAGGGAAAAAAAGAAAAAGTTGTGTAGGGTATATATAGATTTGAAGAAAGCGTACGAGAGGACTAAGAGAGGTTCTAAAGTGGACATTAATGAGAAACGGAGTTCCGAAAAGGTACATTAATATAATAGAAGATATGTGTGATAGTATTTGTACCAGGGTAAAAAAGGTGGGCGGAGTAACAGAAGATTTTAGGGTATGAGTTTGAATACACCAAGGTTCTGCTTTAAGCCCTTACTTATTTTATATAGTGATAGATGAAATTACTAGAGAAATACAAGGAAAGGTGCTGTGGTGCATGTTATTCGCTGATGATATAGTATTAATAGGAAAAAATTAATCAAAGGCTAGAGATCATCTTTTGAAGAAAAGGGTTTAAGAATAAATAGGAATAAGAAAGAGTATATAGAGTACCAGTTTGACAAAGGAGAACACGAGGAAGGTGAAATAAGGAGTTCAGTGACAATAAAGAGAATTTGACACAATTATCACTTATGTTCTAATAAAAATGATTAGAAAACAAAAATAATGAATTAAAGATTATTTATTGTGGTTGGGTTTGAACCACAAACTAACAATAAAAATGTTTATCAAGTATAACAATTAAACTAACAAAACATATGCACATCATACACAAAATTAATGCCGCATACTAGTGTGTGGTTTTATATTTTTTTATAAATCTTTAAATCAAAACTAAATGCAATAATTCAAGTAAATACTGCAAAAATAAAAATAATGTTATTTGTGTAAAAATTAAAATTTTTTACCTTATCAAATAATGCAATATATAAAGAAAACCCAAATTGATCTCGTAATCCTATTTTGTCCGATAGCTGATTACAAAGTTCTCTAGCTGTAGTAGCAGAATCAGCTAACAAAGTTTTTGTATTTCCATCCATAAATGTAATAGGTAGCATAATTGGTTTTTTTGATTTTGTTGCTTGTAATTCTAACCAGCTTGGAGGTTGATTTCTGGTTCCATTATTGAATGTTCTCTTTAAACGATCTTCACAATAAGGAGCATAACCAGGTGGGCCTTCTCTTATAAATGCTCTGAGATAGTTAACAAATTTTTCTGAAGGAGCAAAACATCCTACACAAAGTGAAAGTAAAATCCATCCTCTAGCATGAGAAGATTTTGATGGATTTGCAGATAGCTGCTTACAGATTTGACAGTAAATTTCATCTCTAAAATAAACATAAAAAAAATTAAAATTAAAAAATTATTAATCTTTTTCTTTAATTATTAATTTTACAAATTAGTCTCAAAGAATCATAATTTTAGTTACATTTAATACCTTAATTCAGCTCTTAAAATGCCGTGACCAATAATAAAATGTAATTTTTCTAAATTTGATGTTGGACGTGTATCTAACCAAGATTGATAACTATCTGCAGCATATTCATCATCTTGTAATCTTTTTCGAACATCTTCACCTAACTTGTTTTTTCGCTTTAATGTTAATGAAACTAATTTATGACGTATAGAACGTGGTTTAGATTTTAAAAAACTCTCCTATATGTTAAATAAAAAATAAATTAAGAATACTTCAAAAAGTTAACATAAGTTATTAAATACCATGGAATACTCTATTATAAAATAATTTTATACTAACCGGATCCATACCAATCATTTGAGCTTCATGAAATTCTTTGCTACGAATAAAATTTCGTCCTAATGTTGCAGTTACTTTAGACATAACAGAGGTTGTATCTCTTTCCATAGTATGATAACGTGGTTCGGACAAATCACCACAGAATCTTAATATTGTTAGCCAAAGAGCTTGAGCAGCCTGCAAAAATATGAAAATTAAATTTTACATTTTTAAAATAAAAACTGTTTTTTATGTTAAATACACCTAAATTTGTCTTACCAATTGATCTCCTTGAGTATGAAGTGGCAATAAAGAATGTTTTAAGGGTTTCCTAGAACATTGATGATTTATATTTCCTTGGAAATAAGTTGCGGCAAACTTTTGGAATTTAAATTCAGACAAATCTTCTTCATCTTCAAGAATTGGTTGTATATCACTAATAACATCTTGTTGATCATCAGATCTTGATGTAGGAAGATCCTGTTTAAACATGAATATATTTACTTTAATTTAAATTAAAGTAATGATTTAATTTTTTTTTAACTTTTCACAGGTCTTAAAAAAGAAGTCATCTTTGTAATTTAGAGATATCGAGATAATATAGAGATTATTAACCTTTTACAGAGTATTCATTTATCATGACGACTTGAATAATCAAAATATAAATATAATGAGATTTTTTTTTTAGGGACATTTTTTCTTAGTTTATTGATAATAATGTATCTCTTATCTAATTGTTCCTTATACTCTATTAAGGTGTCAACTTTATTTTTGCAATGAGGAACTAATATTAAATTTTTGTACTTGCAAAAATGTAGATTTAATAGTGTTAAAAGAATGTCGACAATAGAAGAAGCTTACTTTTCTAATTCCCTGAATATGAAACTACACTAAAAAAATCAATTACCATGAAAACAGATGTTCCTCTAGTAGGCATTAGAGGCTCACTACTTGAATCTGGTAAGAAATCAAACATTGCTTCAACCAGTTTACTGTCATCAACTGGTTCATCTTGTTTCCTGGCTGCATTACTAATTAAATTTTTCTTAAATTCCATTTGCCTTTTTTCCTCTTCTTCAATTTCATGTTCTTTTCTTTCCAATTCCTCCATTCGATTCTATAAACACATTTTAATAGTCTTTACTTCAAAGAGGTTTAATTCAATTATTTAGTATGTACCCTGTAATTTTTTTCAGCAATTTCTTTAGCTCTTTTATTTCCAGCTTCTTTAAGTTCTCTTTCTTCTTTATTTTTCAATTTTAAGGCTTCTATTTGTGTTCTATATTCAAACTAAAAAAAACATGAAAAAGAATTAGATCAAATAAACCAGTTTTTTTGTTCTTTAATAAACTACTAGGCTCCGGTTAGCTGGGGCTCTGTCCTAGACCAGGAGCCTTACAAGCCTTTGGCAAGTAAGCCTCTTTGAGTCGTCATCATAAGTAGTCCAGTGATTCTGGTGGGAGTACTCGGCTACACTGGACACGATAAGTGTTTTGTAGAAAAAATATTACATCAGAATCAGTGTAACAAATATATATTAAAATTAGGAAAATTCAAAAAGAGAATATAGTAAAATGTATTGGGTATATGGTTGACGTTTGTTAATGCGGTATTCCCCTTAAGCGTATTCAAAAATTATTTTAGAAGTGTATTTAATATTTTTTTACTAAATATTAAAGTACTGATAAAAAAAAGGACATTAGGTCCTTATTTATTAGAAGCTTTTTATTAAAAAAATATTGATAGTGCTGGTTAAAGGGGGGCCCATATCATAAACGATAAACTCATAGACTCATATATGAGAAAAATAAGATTATTAATAATGAACTGTTGTCATAATGAAAGTACACATTTATATAATTATAACAGTCTTTAAATTTATATATAACATATAATATTCCTTGATAAAATTTAATGCTATGTGAAAATGCAAAATAGTGTCCTAATAAAAATACATATTACACCATATAATTAAAATTCAGAATAAACGTATGCGCAGAAATGAGTCAATGCGCATATTAAAACCATGTGCGTGGACTTAAAAAAAGAAAACTTGTAGTGGCCAGAGTTTTAGTTGGATCTCGGATTTTCGTCGCTTTCTCGGCACGTGCAAAACGTTGTGGTATGATTGAAAATCGTTTTCATGTCGTAAGTAAAGTGTCGCAAGAATTTCGGGCGTCTCGAGCTCGTGAAAAAAATGGATTAAATTGATTTTTTTTATTATATTTCAGGAATGTCATTGGGCGTGTCTAGTAAAAATTTGAAACTTTAAGTCGTAAAACGCTGGTGTCAGCGAGTGCTTTTCTCGAAAATGGTCAAAATTTTAAAATGCTTGTAGGCGAGCAGGAAAAATTTTCTGAACTTTGCCAATAATTTTCCCAGAGTCTGGTGACCGAGTACTTTCGTTGAAAAAAAAATTTTTTGAAAATCCGAACACGCTAAGTAATTTTCCCAGAAAAGTGTTTTTTTCTTCATTTTATTATATAATAAAATAAGCATACTTTACAAGAAGGAAAATATAAAATGTAAAAAAATTTACTTATATTAAATTGAATTATTTTAATTATAAGAGTATAATACTTTAATTTTATTGAAACGTTTTTGAGCAATAATTCTTCTGACATGAGCTTGAATTTTAACTATGGCCCACATTTTTTTGGTAACCATTCTCCTGACTAGATATCCACGAGATTGTGCTTGTAATCCAACTATATGTCCACGTAAATGTTTAAATCTATGAGATAAAACACGTGATCTAATAACTGCTTGTAATCTTAAATACCCCACAAGCATTTGGCGGTATTTTTTTTTCTGTGAATATCCTCTCCAGTATTTTTGAACCAATACAGCAGCAGACCGCATTTGTAAGAATCTATAATAGTTTGACACTAATTATACATAACATAATTTATTAGTAATTTTTGTGAAACTTATACCTTCGCCTATAAACCCATCCTTTAATAGATTTTTGAATTATTATTATTTTTTTAGTTAATACCCGATCTCGCTCTTGCTCTAAGAATAAATCATGAGCATCTTTTAGAAAAATTTTAGAATTTCCTAGCTGATAATCAGATTGTCCTAAAACAGCTTGACAAATATGTGCAGTCATTTTTTTACAATCAGTCTAAATTATTAAATCAAAAACATTAGTAATAAATTATATATATATATATATATATATTAGCATGAAATAATCAAACCTTATGAGCAGGAGGTATTCCAGGTATTAAAAACCGATAACGTTCAATAAATTCTCTAAAGCCATGTCTAATTGGATAACCTGCACGCCTAATTCGAATTGTTTCCATCATACCAGAATACCTAAGTTGCCGACAGCACAATCCTCTATCAAAAACCTTAAAAAATGTATAGGTACAAAATATGACTGATTAATTAAAAAAAATTTTCAGTTAAGAATGTTTGTATTAATAAATTATGATTTTTATATATTAAAAAGTATTTAGTATTTAAAGGAATAAAATTCATCAAATTATAAGGCTATAATGATCTTAAAATAACAACTATTTACATCCTTACCATTGGCTTTTTTAATTCATTTGGCTTTATACAACGAATAAAAAATGGTTGACAAGTACTAAGAGTTTTCATTAATAAATCTAATGATTTTTTGAATTGTGTGGACAAAGTTGGAGCTCTTTTCCTTGTCTCAGATCCCATAGCAATATCTTCAGCAAATAATACTTTTAAAAATTTGTTGGATGAAATATGTATAAGTTGCAAAAGATCAGCACTAAATGTATCTCGATTTTTTTCAAGAAAACCTAAATAAAAATATATTTTGTGTTGATTATTCTATATTAATAAATTAAAAAAAAAAAAAAAACCAGCACGGGGGGATCACGGCACAGTGGTAATGTGGCATAGTTGGATCAAGTATAATGATATCTGAAAGTGATTAAAATGACTATCAAAAAAAAAAAAAAACGCTTCGATGCAAATCTTTAGATAATGTTTAATTTTAAAAAATTGGTGGATTATTCCAAAAGTTACATGATCTGCTAGTCCCTTATTAATATCCTGATTAAGATAAAGTATGTCAAATGAAAGAGGGATTATTAAAAAATATTATTTTTCATAAAAAAATTGTGTTGATCCATACACTTTTCAATAAGTTATAGCATTATAAAGTTAAAAATTAAAAATTAAATCGAGAATTTTCACACAAAAATAGTATTTGATAGCCATTTTCACCGTGAAGACAAAATAAAATCCAAAGTTTTTTTTTTTAATATTAAAGTATATTACATAAGCTTTAATTTAAGATATATATAAAAGTATCAGTATATCCGGAACACTTTCAAAAATTAGGTTGAAAAAGTTCTACATTTTTATGTTTTGAACCCCTCCCCTTGTATTAAGGGAAATGGTCCGATTTAAAAAAAAAGTATGTCAAATGAAAGAAGTATATCTATAAAATATAGCATATTAGTATATTTATAGCATCTATAAAAAAAAAAAAATTTACTGATCCATACATTTTCCGAAAAGTTATAGCGTTATAAAGTTAAAAATGTAAAAAAGAATTTTTTTACAAAAATCGTATTTTTTTTATTAACTTTGATGACTGTTTTCACCGTGAAGACAAAATAAAATCCAAAGTTTTTTTTTTCTCATAATAAAGTACATTACATTAGCTTTAATTTAAGATATATATAAAAGTGTCAGACTTTCCAGAACATTTTCAAAAGTCAAGTTGAAAAAGTTGTAATTTTAAATCCCTCCCTGTGGGCAGATAAAGGGTTAAATTTATAAAAAAAATATACCAAATAAAAGGTAATGATATCATGCATCTATATAAAAAAAAAATTATGTTGATTTGTTGATTTTTGAAAAAATTATAGCAATTTTAAGTAAAAAAAATTTAAAAAATTAGCGATTTTTAAATTTGTAATTTTTTTGTAGGTTTCCCCCATTTATGGGGAACGAGGGAAATTTTTTCAATTTTTGAAGGTATTTCTTCGACTAGATACGATTTGTGATCTTTTGACGTATCGTTGAAAGAAATCTGTTCAGTGAGAGCTGAAAAAAAGTGGTAACAGACAAAAAAAAAAAAAAAAAAAAAACACAT